CAGGAATGCTTTATAGGAGGGACACTTCCTCTTTCGTCTTGACACGGGAAGGAATGTCCCTTCTGAAGCTGTGGCACCTGCCACACCTCACCCTAAAACCGAAGAGTGCTTTAGTTTCCTCAGGAATATTCTTTGTTCATGTGTAGATTTTAGCCAATTAGACCATGCGTGGTTGGGTAGGATTTCTTACAGTGGGAGGACTGCCCTTCTGAGGTAGGCATCCTGGTGTCTCCTGTTCAGCCCCAACGCATCAAAAGCCCCCACTTACACCCTGACCCGGATAGCCCAGGCAAGCCAGATCTTGGAAGCGAAGCAGGGCCGACCCTAGCAAGTACTTGGAAGGGAGACCTCCAAAGAACACCAGGGCTGGGACGCAGAGGCAGACAATAGCCAGCCACCTCTCTGAAATGTCCGAGCCCCACTAGGGGTCACCAGAAGTCAACCATGACTTCCAGGCATACACACACACACACACAGTAACCATCACAAAAAGCCCTCAGTCACAGGTGAAGAGTCTGTTATCAAAGACGCTACCACAGCAGCAGCGTCCACATAGCTGAGGCAATATGACCTGTGTGGTGAGGGATGGCAAATAGCTTCCTCCTTAATGCCTGGGGGCAGGATGGGCAACTTGTACAGAAGACTGCAGCCCCCCTCTTCTTCACACCCACAGCCTCGGTTGGTTGCATGGGGGCTGAGGAGAGAGCAGAGCAGCCTCCCCTGCCGTTCCTTTTAAATACTTGAAGCTGCCTTTATGGCATTCGGCCGGTCTAACTACAAGTTGTCTGCTTTGATTGACAGCGGCTCCCCGGGGTTACAGGCCGAGAAAGGCATTTCCTCACATCCGTGATCCTTTCTAAATGGAGGTGCCAGGGAAGGTGCCTGGGGCCTTCAGTATGCAGGGCACATCTCTGCCACTGCCGAGGGCCATCTCCAAAGACCTTTTAAATGAGATTAAAAGATGCCCTGGCAAGTCTTAATGAGCTATCAATGCTGCTCAGGAAGGGTCCGGAATGTTAAGCTTCCTGAATGCGCTCCTGCAGTTACGAGAAATGGAAAAAGAGAAACAAGATCGACGAGCGCGGCTCTGACTCGGAGGCCGAAGGAGAGCCAAGAAGAGGAAAGAAACAGAAAGGCAGAGGTGAGCGGGGCTGCACGGGCTGGGTCTCACAGGTTCTCCTGTCTGTGCCTCAAGTCATAATGTAGAGAATGTTATAGCTTCGTACTGCAGGCCGGGCACTGGTATATTTGAATGTTTCCCTATTTGATATTCTAAACTTCGCGGCCTGTATTCAGTCACACATTCCAAAAAACAAAGTGGCGATTTCGCCCACCCCCATACATACTTGAGCTGCGGTGGCTCAAGTGGTTAAGACGCTGAACTGCTGGCTGTGGAAGGTCGGTAGTTCAGCAGTTCAAGACCCGAGTGTGCCGCATGACGGAGTGAGCTCCCGTCTGTAGTTCCAGCTCCTGCCAACCTAGCAGTTCGAAAGCAAGAAATTGCAAGTAGATAAATAGGTACCACTTCAGTGGGAAGGTAACAGCATTCTGTGTGCCTTGGTGTTTAGTTATGCTGGCCACATGACCACAGAAACGTCTTCGGACAGCGCTGGCTCTTCGGCTTTGAAACGGAGATGAGCACCGCAACCCTAGAGTCGGAGTTGACTGGCTTTCGAGCAAGGGAACCTTTACCTTTTTATACATACTGCAGACTCCTACTGTGCCCCTTCTGTTCCAGAAAGTTTGCTGATCCACAAGTACAAATTGGGGATGGGGGAGCTAAAGATTGGGGTGGCCGAGGGAAGAAGTGGCAGGAAACAAGTGGATGGTTGGTTCAGTAGTTTTTCAAGATCTTTTCAGGGAATCCTTTCTGCGCCAGTTTGCGTGTTGGGGGAACCCAGCACAGGTAACTGAGCACAGTGGAGAATTTTGTTTTGCCTAAGTGACCCATTGGCCAAGTCCGTTGGGTCTCACCACTGTGCTAAGGTGTGTGTCCTTGAATACATCCAGTGTTTTCCTGCCACTCCACATGGTGGGGGGTGTTTCATAGCCATGAGCCGGCTGGTGTTCACCAAGGCTTTCCTTCTATTGATGCTCTCATTGAGACACCCCAGGACATAATTTGAAATCCACTGACTTCCCGGAAACTGACTGCAAGGGCCATCATTAAAGGATGTGTGTGTGTGTTTGTATGTCTACACCATGTATGTCTGTATCTTGTGAACCTTCTAAAAGATGTGTGTGTTTGTATGTCTGCACCATGTATGTCTGTATCTTGTGAACCTTACCGCTTTCTCCAGGAAAAAAACCCTTTTATAAGACCATTACAAGCAGATGACCGGGAGCTCTGTCTTTAAGGGACAAGGCTGACCCAGATTACAGGAGGGGATGCTTTGTAACCTGATCACGTGACTTCCTTTTTAGGGGCACGCCCTTTGCCTTCTTCCCAAGGCCGCCATGCCTCCCAGGAGACTAAGGCTCGCTCTGAACTGAGAACCAAGCAGCAGATCCTCAAACTTCGGAAGAAAACAGCAAAGCAGCGCTTCCTGCAGAGCGGGGCACTCAAACGCTTGAAGTCCCGCAACCGCCAGCACGTCCAAGAGCTCCGCCAGAGCGCTTTTGGGCGTGGAAGCTTCAAGAAAGGCAAGCTGCGGAAGAGGATGTAGGGGTGTGACAGGAGGACAGCAGGCTTTCTGCACCTGCCTGATTATGGGCAAACTCTGGGTTTGGTGGGAAACATTAAATGTTTCTAAAAGCTTTGTTGACGACTAATGTGTCTGAAATGGTTCTCCCCACCCATCGAGCCCTGAGTCCCCTTGAAGCCTTTCTGCATCTCCTGTCCTTGTGCCAGTCAGTTTGGAATAATATTTCCCCTCAGTGTTTGGTCTTCTCTGTTTTCTGACCTGGATTTAGAACAAGCCTGGATCTCGTGGGTCTTGGCCTAGCCAAGCACAATTTGCCAGTTGGGTGTTGAGGCCAGCAAAGTACTTGACCCGAACCCAGTGTCTGTAGCAAGAACAAGAGGAGTTTCACTATATGCGGTGTTAGCTGTTTTTCTCTCAGCTTACACTACTTGGCTTAGCGAGCGGGACCTTTTTGGTTATGCTCTGTATTTATAAGTGGACTTGTCATTGGCAAAGGAAAAGACTCAGATGCATCTGTAATTTTTAAGAGTTTTATTTTAAACATGGCTTCAAATAGCAGCTTGGTAAGAGATTACATTTTGTGCAGTTCCTTCAATTTGCTTGTTACAATTTTGGCCCAAATGGCCCAAAGCATGATTATTCTTACAACATATCTCACCACTGACGACGGAACAAGGATGACCGCCTTCTGGTTCCTATTGTTCCTATGGAGGCAAAAGATCAGAACGAGGAGGCAGGAGTGACAGATCGCATGAGCTCAGGAGTTCTGGGCCGCAGCGGGCTATGCCGATCGGGTGTCCGCACTAAGTTCGGCTGAAGGGTTAGTTTGGACTTTGGAGAATCTCAACTGCAGGCATAGAATAAGGTCTTTTGCCACTAGTAGCATATTTAAGGCTACGATAGCAGATTAAGAGGGTGCTAATGTAAGTGAAGCTGTTGAGCAGGTGAAACGACATAGTTGGCCATCACAGTCATGCCAGCTGCTTGGACTGGCTCTGAATGCGGGAGGCGTCTGCATAGCCAAGATGTCCCACTTTGACTTACCAGTCAAATCCACCCCCGTTTCGTTCTCCTCTATTCTGTCAGCCTTCTGTGCACCTGGTCTCCCCTTATTCCGTGGCTTCTGAGTAGAAGTTAAAGGGTATCGGAACGGCTGCTTCACTTTCTCCAGCACCTTTGCACCATGGAAATGGGAGATTGTCCCACAGACTATGAGGGCCACTGAGGTAATGTATTTCTTGGCAGAAGAACATGGGCAAAATGTCTCTGGCCAATGAGGAGGGAAGGCTCTGCCAGGCTGTGGTGCTTGGCAGACATCCCACTACACTGATCCTGTCCTGAGCCAGCTGCATGGGTGGAGCTGACATGAGAAGTCCCCACACACAGACATGCACACAATTATTTTCAGCTGTGTGCATTCCCATAGGTTCAGCCAGCAGGATTCAGTACGGTTCTGGTACAGTTCTTCCCTTTACGGTTTTGCAGAACAAAGGCCCTTCCTTGGCTGCCTGTGCATCCCACTTTGATCCCGTGGCCTTGTGACTCTCACCATGAGAAAATGACCTATAAACTAGAGTGTGGGAGCAGCAAAAATGGTTGTTGTTGCTCAGGAATGATCCTGGCACTTTCTTGGTGATAACTTTTAGTATTATCTCTGCTTGCCCCACTGGCCTGTATAGAGAAGTTGAGAGGCTAGGTCCATCAGAAGTTTATAAGCGGCTCAGTTTTAAATTTAATTACTCTTCAGGGAGAAATCAGCACCCAGAATAATAGCAACGTTTTATCAAATGAATCCTAAACAGCTGGAAATGCGCTGAGGCCATCTGACTTGGGGGAGGGGGCACATTTTAGAAGCACAAAGGGTCTGTTTCTTAAATGGAAGAGTAACCCCAGCCAATTCGTCCTCCCACACAGCTTGTGTATTCCGATACACTCCTCCTGTCTTGGTCTTCTGGCCTGGCAAGTGCTGCCTTCTCTTTGTCTTGGGGTCTGCTATCACTTTCTTCCTCCAAAAACGAGGCTATCCTTAAGATGACCCAGACACAAAAGCAGCTAAACGTTTGGGATCCCAAAATCAGAGTAGACCTGAAAGGCCTGGCTCCTGCATCCCTTTATGGGTCATTTCTTCCATTTGATTTGGCCCTCTGCTACTGTGGCAACATATGAAAGCAGGAATCTTGTACGCTGATATCTATTACCTGTTTCTTAACCTCCTTTTTCCTGCAAAGAGCTTGGAGTGGTGTCTCCCTATTTTATCCTTGCAACAACACTGTGAAGTAGGTTAGGCTAAGGGACTAGCTGGAGTCACCCAAGTGAGCTTCATGGGTGAATGGATATGTGAATCTGGGTCTCTCCCTGCCCCTGTCCACCACAGCACCAAATTCCTAGTATGAACTGTAAAAATTACATTGTGCCTAAGGGCCTCTTAATTGCCAATGAAAGAAATTAAGTGGGCTTCAATCTGAGATATCTGTTGCTCTTTAATAAACGTATATGCTGCCTTTCTTCCCAGTAATCCCCCCTGAACATGCTTAACATTTTTGCTATTACAAACAGCATTTTACAACACTGGAATCCAGAATACTTTTGGCAAACTCAAGTATATTCAACATAAGCCTTGTGATAACACAGTGTTCCTAGTTTGGCTAAGATGATGAAGACCTGTAGAGGGAAAGAAATACCTCATTTTAAATTCAGGCCCTGGTGAATACAACATTTCCTGATCAGTTCTAATTCAGCAGTTGAAATTCTTTTAAGAATGGTGGCAGAGTCTGTAACAGTGCATCCTGGGAAATCAAAATGGTTCTACCAGTGATTTCTAAACGTAGCCATTTTTGATGTCAGGTTGGTGTCCATTTAGTCTTTTGTGTAGAGAGTGACGTAGTTGTCCTGGGTAGAAAACAGAAGGACATTGTTAACAGATCGCGTACACTATCTTCTATAACATGGCTGCTTAAACACAAGTAGCTGCTTAAACTTAAATGTTTGTCTCCAGCCCAGGTTTCTGGGAGTCACCTGACCCACTAGAGAAGGTGTTCTGAATTCAGAGTGGGCTGAATGGAATTTGTTCAAGGTTGCCCATTAATCAACCCTTCCTGTGAAGAGTCAGAACCTTCCAGTTTGAGAAGACACCTGACCCACTAGAGAAGAAAAGGTGTTCAGAGTGGGCTGAATGGAATTTTTTCAAGGTTGCCCATTGATCAACCCTTTCTGTGAAGAGTCAGAACCTTCCAGTTTGAGAACTAACAATGGATTCTTTCTCTAAATCCCATTCTCTTATCCCATGACTGCTAAGTTTACTTGGGATCCTTTGATGAGAAACTTTCCAAAACTACTGTAGGAGCTCATAACATCTGCTGACTCATCCTTATGCACATATTTGTGGATAAACCTTCTTGAAGAATTCCAACCATTGGTGAGGCGGCCCTTTGCAGAAGCCATGCCAATGCATTGACCAGGCTTGTTCTTCTTTAACTGTTCCTATCAAGTTACTAGGAGCTGATGTTACATTAAGTGGCCTGTAATTTCTCAGATTCTCCCTTTTTAAAATCTTCATTACTTTTACTACTTTTCAGTCCTGTGGTATAAACAAGTTGTTTACAGCTGTACTGGTCCAAAAGCAAATTCCAAAATCAAGAATGCTATCTACATAATACTTTTTAGTAGAACCAGCCAAGTAACATAAAAAGTATGCAAGCATTGAGTACACTCTTTAGCAGGCTGGATGTTACAAAAACTAAAACAGTGAGGGAGGACATGATTGAAATACTTTCCATCGACAACTGACTCCCAGAATGGTAAACAATCTAATAATAAAATCTAAAATAACTATTAAACCTTTAATATGAGGGTAGTTCAAATCATCCACGATTACAAGATGTTCTCTTCTGAGTGTGTCCCTTATTTCCCATTTCAAGATCACCTCAGAGTTTTGGTCAGGTAAGCAACAGTACGTCCCAAATATTCCTCTCAGTTTTCATAAGTTACTTCTGAAGTCAAAAGTAACTGGGTTGTTCTTTGGGGGTAACCATCAAGATAAAAGCTGAAATTCCTTCAAAGCTGAATCCTTAGTCTTCTGTGCTTCCACAGAACATTTCCCTACCCACAGTTCTATCAATAACTACACAGCCTTGCAAATTGCAGGTCTTCCCTGACTCCATATAATTTAAAGAACAGGCTGTGCACTGCAGACAATCGGCTGTTGTTTTCTGTTGAGATGACTTGCATACTGGCAGATACGGGAGCAGCTGATGTGTCTACTCACCTAGACGTTGGATATGTCTTGTTGAGCTCAGACTGAGGTGTTGCTGTCCGCTCAGGCTGAGGAACTGATGGTGGATCCCCTTTACGGAAGTCAGCCAGCATGTTGATTAAATCTACCATACACAGCTTGACCTAGATGAATTGTAGTAACATGTATTTGTAAATGTATGCTACCTGGGTAGAATCTACAGATGTCTCCAGCCATATAACCAGAAAACTCTTCTAGCATGTGGTCTGATGGTTCAGTACATCTAATACATCTGTAAAATGGGAACAGTGCCACCTACAAGTCTTGAACAAACAGTAGCCTCTGCCTGAGCAATTAGAGACGTGGCTTTTTCAGTGGCAGCACTTCACCTGCTGAGTATTCTCTCCCTTGAGACTCACCTGTCGCTTACGCCACTCTTTTAGGTGCTATACGAAAACATTTCTTTTTAATTAGGGGGTTCCTATTTTTAAATCTGCTTTTATAATCTGCTTCTAGTCTGAGGACTATTAAATGGGTCACTTAGGCTGCTGTGTGTTTTATATTCTGCCTGCTTTTTTTGCTGTGGGTTTTCAGTGGCTGTTTTTAAAACTTTGCTAATTTTAATTATTTTTGTTTTATCTTGTTTTATATTATTTTGCGAGCCACCTTTTGCAGGTCTCTGAGGAGGCTGCACTTGTTTATGAATAATATTAATACATTATTTTGCATCTGCTAAATAAATAATTTGCAGCCTTCAGTTACATGGGCACTTGTGGATTTTATTTATTTATTTTTGCCCATCAAGTTACCACTTATGCCAAACCCATAGGGTTTTCAAGGCAAGAGGCATTCAAGGGTGGTTTGCCATCGTTTTCATCCACATCATGACCCTGTTTTCCTTGGTGGTCTCCCATCCAAATACTAACCAGGGCTGACCCTGCTTAGCTTCTGAGATCTGATGAGATCATACTAGCCCAGGCCATCCAGGTCAGGGCTACTTAGAGACACTGAGTACGTATCTTGGATCCTACAAAATATGCTTTCTTGTAGAAACATATGAAGATTCTTTATACTGTCAGACAACTGGTTCACCTACCTTAGTACTGTATCTGTCTATAAGACTATTAAGGTACTCTGCTCCCCATTGTATCCTTACCCTTGCAAGATAGGTTAGGCTGAGAGACAGAGTTGACTGGCCCATGGTCACCCTTGGAAATCCCAGATGCTGGCATGACACTCAAAACTGCTCCACCACCCAGCCTCTGAATGGCTCAGTACTGTCTGTTCTGAATGGGGACAGCTCTCTCTGCTTCTCAGGCAATCCCAGGGACGAGGGTTACCATATTTTCAAGAGCAAAAGAGAGGACATATTTCCCGACTGACAGCTTCTAACAAGTGATCACAATGACAAATCTCATTTTAAATACCCCTACTATTTAAGATGTGATAAGTGCTACTAGTTAGGAATATCCCTAACCTCCCAGCCCCCAAAAAGGACATTTTCATCAGTTTTTTAAAATGAGCCCAAAAGAGAATGCACACCAAAAAAAAAAGAGGATATCTGGTAACCCTACCAGGGACTGAACCTGCGACCGTCTACATCCAAAGTACAGGCATTACCACTGAGCCACAGCCCCTTCTGGGTAAAAATGACTGCAAGTTCCCAGCCCTTAACGTTCTGCAAATATGCCCGGAAGTCAATTGTCTATGCCTGATTTATGTTCAAAACCTAGCAAAAAGTTCAAAACCTAGCAAGATTTATGTTCAAAACCTAGCAAAGTGCCTGAAAACAATCTCCCATGGCTTGAAATATGATTTCCAGAATTTGGTGTCCTGAACAGCTACCCCTCCCAACCCTGTCAGCAAAAGCAGAATTAATTATACAAAATGACCACACAAGCATGCTTGCTTTGAGGAATTTATACAGGGTGCAAGATTTGAATTGGGTGCAGAAATGGGGGGGCATACTAGGGGGGGCACAGAGCACACAGCTCTCTAAAGCTGTCCCTGAGAGTAATCGTGAGGAAGAGCTTGCGTACATGTACCGAGCATGCAGTGAACCAAACTGCAGGTCTGTCTTGAGCTCTCCTGACTGGGAACAGCTGCCTAGCATCCGAGGCAGGACTCTCTTCCAGCTCTGTTACTCAAGACCTTTTCAAACTGTTCATTTGTGCAATGAAATAGATGGTCGCTGAAGAGGATCAGAAGTGAACAACGGGCCCTCCTGCAGAGTAGGACTGACACTGACCGCATCCAGTTGAGCTTCTGTGTCCTCTTGGGCCACATTGGCCGGCAGTTTCCTGTGCTTGGCCACCATCTGGAAGAGGTTCAAAGCCGCCAGCTTGATCTGCCCCACCTCCAAGGTCTTCTCAGCAGCTGTGTTCTGGATTCTGTTCCAGACGGACTCCTGCAGAGAAAGTCACAGAACAGGGAGTCCGGTAAGAACACTGCTGCTTGCAATTTACCTCCCGGGGTGCATCCTAGTATGCCCAAAGCTGCTGTATTGTGGGGGGGGGGCGCGTTTAAAAAACAGAGGCCCTGTGCCAGCAATAACTCTCACAGGTAGAAAGCCATTAACGAAGCCGCAATATTCAGTCACAGGAGAAGCTATAGCTGCTGGTTTTTGCCTGCTATGCAGTTATGTGAGAAACAGAGACTTTATCCATCAACAAGCACCAGTCCTAGGATTCCCCCACACGACAGGCCAGGAATGGGCAACATTTTCAGCCTGAGGGCCGTGTGTGTGTCTTTGCCTGCTTTGGAGGCCATTCGGTTGGATGCCAGAGCTTTCCACTGCCAACACGGGGAACAGGAAGAGGTCCCGTCCAGCTCAGAACCCTCACAAGCAAGAGTGAGCCAGCCATGGGCCGCTCCCATACTCCGATGGCCCTTTGCCCCTCAGCTGTTTGAACAATGCAATGGAGAGCTCTGGAAAACTAGCCATGGCTGCATTCCAGCAGACCAGTGCTCCTAACAAACTGCTAAGCGGCAAGAGGGCCGGGGGAAAAGCTCCTGGCAGGTTTGATGCGGATCCAACCCAGGCTTTAATTTACACCCCTCCCCGCTCCAGACCCAGTCAGTTCTCCTACCCTATGACACTATTCCCTAGGATTCTGACCCATTGTTACCTCTGGAGAAGTTGATTGTGGCTGTAGATCGTTGTAACGTTATTCTGCTGCAGCAATCAAGCAACTGCTGGTTTTGGAAAGGAAGCCTGAAAAAGCCCTCCAGACAGTGGCACAGGGGGAAAGGGTGGTCTCAGGGGGTTTATGCAAAGAAAATGGGGCCAAAGTGGGAGGAACCTTCAAAAATGTGTATCTTCCTATCCACACAGTGTGGGAAGGCACAGTCTTTCTAAAAGATCACATCAAACCAGACCACAGCAAAGCAACGGGGAAACATGGAGGGCAGAAGACTAGGTAGAGTTGCCAGATGCCTGGTGCCAGTGGGGGGGCCCCTACCAGTGCTGCTACAATGTCCCCCCGCCAGTGCTCAATGGAGAGATGGAGGAAAAAATGGGTCAAAAGATGCTGCAACATCACTTCTACCTCGGAATCTGGAAGTGACATCACTACACTGTGTGACACTCTAGCAATTTCCCTGATATCTGTGATTTTTACAACAGAGATTTAGGGGACCACTAGAGTGTTGAGCAACACACTGACGTCACTTCCAGCTGTGCAGCCGGAAGTGTCATCCCAAAACTCCATTTCCACCCATCTCCACTCCCCCAAGCTTCCTGCCAGTTGCCAGCCAAGAGCCAAAGGCTCGGAACCCTCTGATTAAACGGTGTTGTGTGGATGCTCCAAAAAACCAGCTACGGTTGGGATGCCAGACTGGAGCAAAGGTTCAATGCGGAAGCAACCTAGGTAGAGTCGGCCTACCCCTTCGTGAACCCTGATCTGGGCCTGTTCCAGCTGGGCCTGCAGCTGTGCAATCTGGTTGTTTTGCCGCAAGATCTGGTTGCTGCTCTCCTCCACGTATTTCTGCAGGCGGGCATGTTCCTCTTCCATGGCTTCACGATTCACAAGCTCCCTCTGTATCAACTTGGCCTGGGTGGCAATTAGTGTCTGGAAACGGCTGATCAGCTCTGGGATTTCCTGAAACTGGGGTGGGGGAGCAACAATAAAACAGACAGCAGGTATGCGGTCATTCTCCTGAGATAACAGACACCAGTCCCCTCAATTCACTTCAACTTGTGACAGCCAGAATGCTCAAGTGCGTAAGGACTTAGACTTGCACTCAAGGGGCGTGGGGTGGCTCCTGAACCTGGCAGGCACTTCTTTCATTTCCTGGGTCACCAAGAATATAAGAAAATGGTGCCATCACTTGGAACCTGGTGTGGGCAGCAAAGCATTGCCCGCCCGCCCTGCTGGCACCCTTCTTTTGGGCCGCTAGAGGCTGTGTAACAAATGAATGCATTGGACTGGGGTAGATGGTGTGCTGAACAGTAGCACAGTAGGCCGTGCTGCTTACCACTGAAGCAAGCCACGGAGGTACTGGCCAGCACTGCTGGGTCTGGTCGTCTGGGAGCTAAACCAGTGGTGCTTGTGGAGGAGTATGCTCAGAGGACTAGAGCCTCTGTTGCTGGTAAAGAGGGGAAGAGGCAGCAATGGAGGCACCAGGGCTGCACCTGCAGTGCTCTATACATGGTCAGCTGCTCACTGACTGGCACTACCCGTTACAGGCCAGTGGTACCACCTGGCATCTGTTACAGAGCTTAAGGAGTAAAAATACCCATCAGCTACAGAGCTCCTGGCCGCAGACCTTGGGTTGCACTAAAAAAATTATTTCAGGGTTTCTCTTCAGGCATCATAGTTCAGGCTCCCCCACTCAGCTCGCTCACCTGCTCTGCCTTGTCTACAACTTTTTGCAGGTATTCAGGAAAGGCCTTGTGGGCCTCAAGACGCTGCTGCAGCTTCTCCTTCAAGGAGAGCAGCCGGGCTGTTTCCTGCCGAAGGTGTTCCACTTCCACTCCTCTCTGGGCCGCTTGTTGCTGCTCTTCCTCAGCTTTCCGCAGGGCCCGGCTGCGTTTGGCATCGCTGTCCTACAGGAGGGGGAATGTGAGGTCATGTCATGTTTTCCCTGACCCCACCCTTCCACATGGTGGTTCAACAGCCCTGAGCAGTGGCTTCATATGAAGAAGTAATCATTTCATCAAAACAAGAATCACTGAATCAAACAGATTGGTGACAGCGGCAATCACAGAATCATAGAATTGGAAGGGACCTCCAGGGTCATCTAGTCCAACCCCCTGCACAATGCAGGAGATTCACAAATACCCCCCTCCCGCCCCCAGTGACCCCTGCTCCATGCCCAGATGACAAAAAAACCTCCAGGATCCCCAGCCAAACTGGCCTGGAGAACAATTGCTTCCTGACCCCAAAGTGGAGATCAGCATTTACCTGGGTGTGTAAGAAAGGGCCACAAGAACTAAGCACTGATGCAACCCTTCCTGTCCTCCCTTCTCCTTTCTTCAAAAGGAGGCATTGGCCTGTATCCTACTGCTCCGTCCTCAGAAAGCAGAGTTTTCTCACATTCCTCTCAGTTCCTGCAGCCCCTTCTGACCCGCAGAAAGATTCCTCCAAAGGTTGCAAGATCCATGCAGTGGAATAATTGCATGGCTGGGGTGTGTGTGTCATGGAGTGAGAAAGGGCCAGCACCATTCCATTAGGGAAAGGGGTTGATTCAACCCTCATCATTCCCATCCATTAACCTCCACGAGTGTTTCTATGCAAAGATCTCACAACCCAAATGATCTTCCTGAGGGGTGGAAGGAGCTGTAAGAACAGGGAAGAACGCTGCAAAACCTCTATGCGTGGATGGCTGAATACTTCGTGTGATGACTAACTAATGAAACTCACTGCCACAGTATGTGATGACGATCACTAGATTTCCAAAAGGATCACTAGGTCCTCACTAGCCTAGATCCCTAAAGGGTCATCAAAAGAATCACTACAGGATCCCTAAAAGGATTAGACAACCTTTGACAGACATTCTATTTCTTTACTATATTTTTTTTGGTAAACAAATTTTTATTCTTTACTATATTAAGCAAAAGTGATTTGCCATAATAGCTAAACAGTTGCAGTGTACCTCTGTTGTATGTGAAGTAAACACACACTACAGAGGAAAGCCGATGCCTTCATGCCTTGCTTGTGAGTTTTGTTGGAAACATTGGGGTGGTTTCTATGGGAAACAGGATGCTGGATTAGATGGACCTTTGGTCTGAAGCCTGCAGGCCTCTTCTTATGTTCTTAAAAGATCATGTGAAAGCATAGCTTACAAGGTTTCTGAATTGTTTCCAACTGAGATTACAGAGGTACAGGCAGACACTGATTGCCAACTTTATAGTTCAAAGAAAAACCCAACTTTTGAACTGGCTTCTGTAGTCCTGCCCTTTCAAGGCAGCTTGATCTGCTGCAGTAGGTAAGCGGTCATGCAAAGACTAAGTTATTAAGGCTGCAATCCCAAACAGACTTCCCTGGCAGTAAGCACCATTGACAAAAACATGATTTAATTCTGAGATCTCACTAGGATTCTTTTCTAACACCTGCACAGCAAGCTTTTGTTAAAGGCTCAGCTATTGATGAGGTCCGATAAATTAGCAATCCTGGATGTAGTTATTCCGGTAGAAGGAAGACAGAGCCCCTGAGCAACACCCCAGACTCTTTTCCTGGATTTTCAGATTTTATGAGGGGGAAAATAAGTTTCTATCCTCTCTCTTACATATATTAGGGCATGAATACAAGTTACGTTGTTTACGGGTAGGCCCTACATCCTTCTGAACTGGGCATGTCCAGAGACTGGGAGCTGCATGTTGAAACTTAAATTCTCCGGTTAATGAGGGTCCAATTCCAATTGGGACCATGGTTCCCAGGGAGAAGAGACTTAAGCCTTCCCACCTGTAATGTCTTCCTGAGCTGATATGACCTCAGGGAGCCACTATTTGTCCCGCTAGGGAAACTTAACATGTAGCCTGCTGCTCCATGTATAATTCCCGAACCTGGATGGGAGACCCTATTGATGCTATCTCGAGCTCCTAGGAAGAAGGGGGGAGGGGGAGATATGAATGCAATAAATCCACAGGAATGACTGGCAAGAACTTTAACATTTAAAAAAGAAATCATTAAGGTACATACATTTAGTCTTGTCGCTTTTAGACTATTTCAGTCTCTGCTGCTTCAGTCCCCCCCCCCCAAATCTCCTCTCTCCACCCTCAGTGCAAGTAGCCTTCACCCCACTCTAGAGCATCTGGCAACATCAGCTGACCCCTGCTCCGATGCCTCCAGACCTTCAGGAACTTGTCAAACTTCAAGACCGCTTCTTTGAGCTGCTTTTCCTTGCTCTCCAGCTCCTGCTGACGATGCTGCAGCCTCTCCATCTTCATCTGGAACTCCTACAAAAGGAACATCTGTCAGCAAGGAGAAGGCTACATACTGCTCAGCCCTTGTTTTTTTATTTTTTTAAAAATGGTATGTATATTCTGCAACAGTGAAGCAGCCAACTTTTCAGCCTGCCATCGTAGCCGTGCTTTTAACTGCAGCATAAGAACTGGTCTACAACAAAGCCTAAGGATGCACATTTACCATAGACTAAGTCCGGTTGAATGCAATGTTACAATTCTGTTTATACATGCTTACGACTGCAAAGTGAGAGACGGACCTACAAATCAGGAAGGTCCCCAGTTCAGATCTTGCCTCTCTCATGAATTCCCAAAGTAGCCTTAGGTAAGTCATTCACTCTAAGCCTTACTCTGCCGTCTGTAATATTATAGAGGTTTGTTTGTTTGTTAGATTTAAAGGACCTCAAAGTAATATGCTGGAGAAGTCAACCTGCACATGCAGATTTGCTGCATGTGTTCTGGTCCTTGTATTCAGTATTCACATCATAAGAACATAAGAGCCCTGCTGGATCAGATCAGAGGTCCATCTAGTCCAGCATCACGTCTTACACAGTAGCCAACCATTCCTCTGGAGGGCACCTCTGGATGTGGAGGTTTCCCTCAGGCCACATGGCTGGTAGCCACTGATAGACCTCTTCTCCATGAATCTTATCCCCTTTTAAAGCTGTGTATGCCTGTGGCCATACATTCAGGGTTCTATTTGTAGCAGGAACTCCTTTGCATATTAGGCAACACACCCCTAATATAGCCAATCCTCAAAGAACTTACAGAGCTCTTCTTACAGGGGCTACTGTAAGCTCTTGGAGGATTGGCTACATTAGGGGTGTGTCGCCTAATATGCAAAGGAGTTCCTGCTACAAAAAGAGCCCTGCGATCCTCTGGCAGCGAATTCCACATTTTAATCACTCTCTGTGTAAAGTAGTATTTCCTTTTGTCCTTCCTGAACCTACTGCCCATCAGCTTCATCGGATGCCCTCGAGTTCTATTTTGGGTGAAGGAGAAAAAATTCTCTTTGTCCACTCTCTTCACCCCTTACATAATTTTATAAACCTCTATCGTGTCCCCGCTTAGTCATCTCTTTTCTAAACGGAAAAACCCCAGACTCCTCAGCTTTTCCTCATAGGGAAGGTGCTCCAACCCCCTCATCATCTTAGTGACCCTCCTCTGTACTTTCTCCAGCTCTGTGGGTTTTGTTTAGAAATGGTGACCAGAACCGTACACAGTATTCCAAATGAGGTCACACCATAGATTTATATACGGGTATTATAATATTGGTCATTTTATCTTCATCTTCAATCTCTTTCCTAATAATCCATACCACAGAGTTTGCCTTATTCACTACTGCAGCACACTGATAGGGATTTCTAATTTTCATTGAGCTATCCACTACAACCCCAAAATCTTTTTTCCTCTCAGTTTCAGCAAGTTCAGACCCCATTATACTTGAAGTCAGGATTTTTTGTCCCAATGTACTGAGTTTGATCTGCGGAATCTGAGGGTATTAAATGACACTGAATCCCAAGGTTATTCTGCTGTGTTGTCTGAAAGCTGTGACTGACAGTTTCATTGGATTTGGAAAGCCACTCTTGTGAGTAAACAACGGTAGAAGCTGGAAAGATACACGTTTATGTGGACAGATTACTTGAAAGATGGGACAGTGTACATTATTGTTTCAGAACAACATTCAGGATAGAGTTCAGTCATATGTATTTTAAAATGTTTTGTCTTATTTGTATTTTTGGTAAAATTTAAAGAATACAGAATGTAGAAAGATCTACCTCCCAAAAGGCGTTATATCAACTTAATGTATACAAAGCCTTTTAAGCCTTTGAAATGCTAGCATTCCTGTTCATGCGCAGACATTAGCAAGCAAGCTATGAAACCTTCACTATCAAAGATCTGCTCAGAGGTCAGTTATTAATGGCACAAGAACAGGACAAGATGGTGGTGGTGGGGGTTTGCAGTCCACTGGTAATGCCAGTACCATCCAAAAGTTTGCAAGAAACATTAAGCTATTGGAGGGACTGCAAATGCTGCTTTAGTCTGGGATGCTGTGCACATGGCACTTCTTTCTCATGTTCACTTTTTCAATACTAGACTGTATGAAAAAATGCCAAGCATCCATACTTGATGCACCTGTACAGTATATTTACATCACTGCTTTAATAGTCATTCCTTCTCAGAAAACTCTGGGGATTTTAGCACTCGAAAGGGTTGGTAGGGATTTCTAACTCAATTGTCAGCACCTTCACCAAACGACAGGAGGCCAGGACAACCTTGCACTAGAGAAAACATATGACAATGGATTTTCAGGGAGAATTAGGGCAGAGCTCTACCAATGCAGATCTTGCACTTCAGCCAAAGAACCTTGATTGCTGTACACACAGAAGAATTCATGCACATCCATTAACAATGGAAGTCTGCATCATAGACTCTTTTCATCCTAGTTCCTTTAACAAGCTCAGGCCAGTGGCGCAATTACCTCTTTCTGGGCTGACAGAGCTTGTTCCACCTCTGCCAGTTCTCTCCGTTTCTCCAGCAGGCAGCAACCAGCAGGCAAAAGGTCATCTTCTTTTTCAGGGATTTTCCTGGAACAAATGTACAAGGGTCACATCAACCTTCGCTTTGGTGTGCACTTTTGGAGGTAACTGCTATCAATTTCCAATGCACTGAACTCAAACGTTTCTCTGCCACAGCCACTGAAGAGCTGCTGGTGGTCTGAATCTTCATAAGGAAGCTTCGTATGTTCACACATGTCGTGAAGGCTTCCATGCATGAATGGGCTGTCCCAGGTTTAACACCACAAACAGAACTTCCATATAATCTCCCATGCAATGATGGTCGGTGAAGTCAGGTCACATGTTCAGCTACCCAATCATAACATGCTGGAAAATAAGCTGATGTGGATGAATGCATGAACCTGCAAACAAGACTGGTGTTAGGCACATCCAGTATATTAGTGGGAGTGATGATACTCTAAATAATTACACTTAGCCTATATATAGCATATTTTGTTTCGAAGAAACACACCCATCTGATCTCAATAGAGCTTACAACATCTCTATAAGGCAGGGGAGACAAAATGCAAGTAATTTATGACATTTGCTGCCATCACATATGAGGTAGGTTAGGCCAAGAGTTTGAGACTGGCCCCAGTGTTCCCTCTAAGCTGGGTTAGTGTGAGCTAGCTCACAATTTTTTAGCCTCCGGCTCACACATTTTTGTCCTAGCTCTGGAAGGATGGCTCCAGAGCAAACTAATTTATGCAGTACCCAAAGTGCTTGCTCACAACTTTAATGCCAGTAGCTCACAAAGTAGAATTTTTGCTCACACGACTCCACAGCTTAGAGAGAACAGTGGCGTCCACCCAGTGAACTTCCATGGCTGAGTGGGGATTCAAACCTGGGCCTGACAGTAGCCTGACACTATAAACCCTGCACAGCACTGGCAATGTGTTTGTACATACAGTTGTCCAGCAAAAGCTTTCAAAGTTATATTTAGTGAGGTTTGTTTCTGATGGGCATTAGACTGCAGCCTCAGGGTGTGGAGGTTGCATGCTTATAGTTGCTGAAAGTCCCAGCATTTACGCCCAGGCATCTGTTGGTTTGAAATGGTTTTTAGGCAGCAAGGCTGTGAAGTACCAAAGAACCCAAAGAGCTGCTGCCAGTAAGTTGACCGATGATCTTATTCCAGGGCGGGAGCCATGTCTGCTGCAGCAGAAAGGAAGAGGAGTCCTATGGCATCTTAAAAAATGGGCAGAGTGATCACGACAGACATTTTGTGGGCTACAGGTGACTTGCAGCAGCAGATCACCTCTTTCCAAGGCAGGAAGGCCCCATATTCAACCTCCTGTTTAAAAGGAATCTTGGCTGCTGGGGCTGGGATGTACTCTGGAGAGCTGCTCTTTATGCTGAGCCAGATGGACCAAATGTCCTGACTCCATATTAGCCAGTTTCTTTCTTTTTTTCTTGAATGTATATGTGTTTGAAGAGCACGGAAATCTCTTAGGCCAAATAGACCATCCCAGGTGCAGACTGGCTTGCTCTGTGCTGCTGGTGGGGTTTCTCCAAAATGGAGGATGGACTCTGGTGGGGGGTGGGGGGTAGGGTTGCCAGATCCAAGTTAGGAAACGTCTAGCGATTTGGGGATGGAGCCTGGGAAGGACAGGGACCTCAGTGGGGTGCAATGCCATAGAGTCCATCCTCCAAAGCATCCCTTTTCTCCAGGGGGACTGATCTCTGTAGTCTGGGAATGAGCTGTAATTCCAGGGGATCCCCAGGAGAACAATGTCAGCTGCATTTGGTCCCCATTTTGGAGAAAGGTCGATCATAAGTGAAGTAAAATATTTAAATAAATAAAACATAGTGAGGCTTAATTTTGGATAACTGTGCATCTGGCACACAAGCATAAGAGGGAGTGGAGTGGAGGTATGGGTAAACTTTGCTGGGAGGAGGCCAGCAAGCCTAGCATCTCGCCAGGGGCGCCATGCCGAGGAAGGCAATGGAAAACCACCTCTGCTCATCTCTTGCCTTGAAAACCCTCGGAGGTGGAACTCCGTCGCCTCCCCATGACTTAGTTGTGATTGGGCGGCGGCAGCACCCTTTACCATGAGGCCTGCAAACACATTAACCTGAGATGATCTATTTCTATCATTTCACAATGGGGTCGCCTCCCCATTACTTAGTTGTGATTGGGCGGCAGCAGCACGCTTTTACCATTAGGCCTGCAAACACATTACCCTGAGATGATCTATTTCTATCATTTCACAAAACATTTTCTTTTTTCTTTCAGATTTCTTTCTTTCATTACTGACGACACGATTTAAATCGGATGGTATCACGAGCGGCCAGGGAAGGGCGGTGCCGCGTTCCACGTGTGTTCCGGGGCCCAGAGAGATGATGCTTGGGCCCTGCGCGCATAAGATTCCTCTGATGGGCCGCACACACACCAAGGCGCTCCTGTGCCACAGGTTTCTCTCCACCCCGCTTCTCTCAAGCATCAACTGCGTCGCAGGCAGCAGCCCTGTTGCCCCCTCCCCTCGCCATTCTTACACTAGCAGCAGCTTGTGGTTGAAAGCCGCACGCAGCCTCCAAATCCGAAGCCATCGTTCCTCACTCAGCCAAAGTGCCAACTTCTCACACACACCCGCCCCCGTCCAGCTTGTTGCAAAGGTCCGAGGAAGCCGACAGCTTGCTAACCTTTCTCCCAGAAGCCGCGCGAGCCCCGCCTGCCCGTTGCTACGGAGACGAGCAGCACAACGTTCTGTTGCCATGGTCACGCGTCCAAGAGGCTTTTCAAGCGCTGGAAAGTTTTCTTTTTACAGCATGCGTGCGTACGGCTGGATGGGGTTGCAAGGGAGGGGCGGAGGCTAGGAGCAGGGGGTATCGATGTTTAGAAAATCTTTTCACTTTTTTACTCCATCCAAGGAGGTGTGTGGAGCTGGGTGGTTGCCGGAGAGTCCCTAAGATTTTTATTTTATTGCATTGCCTACGTTATGAAGCACAGTTTTTCTGTTCGTGCGCACAATATACAAGAGCCTTACAAAGAAACTGGAAGGGGTGAGGGAGAGAGGTTTATTTGTTACTTGCTGCTGGAGTGCAGAAATTTATACCCCAGTGAATGCACCAGCAATGAAGCACCAAAAATAAAAGGCAAATAAGAACCAAACAACTAAAATTTGGACCATAGACAAAGCAGAAGCACAATAAACAGGAAATTACAATCATAAACCAGTTCCATATATTTCACCCAATGGCTGGGATGTAACTTACATCACACAAATGATGTCTTTTATTTCTAGATTCAACAATGAAGTATGTGGTTAAAATACTGATGCGTGACTGTAAAAACGTTGGTTCAGTGGGTGTATCCTAATGGGTTTGTCCTCCTAGGCTGAAATCAGTTCCATTTCAGTTAAAGACATGTCTCATTGCATAACATGAATGGAAGACAATCTGAGACTGCCTAATTCAGACCAGATGCTCTGAAAACCCCATCCCCCAACACCCTCCTTTGGCTTTATGTGGACTACATGGTGGTGGTGGTGGTGGTGGTGGTGGTGGTGGTGGAAAGAGCCATCAAGTCACAGCTGACTTATGGTGACAGCGTTGGGGTTTCAGGGCAAGAGATGTTCCAAGGTGGTTTGCAATTGCCGGCCTCTGCATACCAACCCTGGATGTCCTTGGTGGTCTCCCATCCAAGTACTGACCAGGCCTGACCCTGCTTGGCTAGCCTGGGCCATCCAGGTCAGGACAGTGGATTACATGGCAGTAAACAACCAGTCATCAGGGGCATCAGGTAGATGCTGTGGTCAGCAAAAGCTGTCCTTGAGATTGTGTATATACAGTTGCCAACAAGCCTGGAGAGAAAAAAATGTCCTGCCCTTTTAAAGAGGCTTAATAGGATGTTATTTCGCTCAGTGCTACGAAAAGCTTCAGCTGCCTTTTCCCACACATTAAGCCTGTTTTAAAAGAAGAGGGCATCTTTCTCCAGGCCTATCGGCAAGCCATGCCACCTGCAGCCAATCGTATCGCAGGTTTGTTGGTATCAGAATCAACCATGTCTGCATCTTCCAAAACTGTGGGCATAAGAAGAGGGGGGGAAATGCACATGCTTAGAATAGGAAATGTCTGCCTGCGATGATAATGAAGCAGTAGGTGAGCTGATAAATAGCAACACAACAGCAGAAGACTGAAAAGCTACATTGACATGCTGTTCTGGGGCAGAGTAATATGAAATTTCTGAGCCAAGACGCCCCCAATGGTGTTGATGTTTGTGTCAATGATCGGGGGGGGGGGAGTGTTTGTTTGATTTTTCATCAAGTCACAGCTTACTTATGGCAACCATGTAGGGTTTTCAAGGCAAGAAATGTTTATAGGTGGTTTTGTCATTGCCTGCCTCTGTATGCCAATCCTGGACTTTCCCGGTGGTCTCCCATCCAAGTACTGAGCAGGGCCAACCCCGCTTAGCTTCTGAGATCTGACAAAATTGGGCTAGCCTGGGATTTCCAGTTCAGGGCTAATAAATATAAAAAGGTAAAGGTAAAGGTTCCCTTGCTCGAAAGCCAGTCGAATCCGACTCTAGGGTTGCGGTGCTCATCTCCGTTTCAAAGCCGAAGAGCCAGCGCTGTCCAAAGACGTTTCCGTGGTCATGTGGCCGGCATGACTAAACACCAAGGCGCATGGAACGCTGTTACCTTCCCACCGAAGTGGTACCTGTTTATCTACTTGCAATTTCTTGCTTTCGAACTGCTAGGTTGGCAGGAGCTGGAACTAGAGATGGGAGCTCACTCCATCATGCGGCACCCGGGTCTCGAACTGCTGAACTACTGACCTTCCACAGCCTGCAGTTCAGCGTCTTAACCACTTGAGCCAACAATACAGGCTGAGTGTTACCTCCTCTACACGTGACACAGATTAACCCACCCAATACGATTGCTCTTATTTTGCATAATTTATTCTGTAGTTTTTACTAGTCTGTATAATTCATCCTGCTTTGGCTGATCAAGGGATGTTACATAGAGCTCTCCAAAACACTGAAACCCTGCCCAGTCTAACCACTGAACATCTTGTTCAGCATGTCCTCTAGCTTCAGAGAATTGTCTGGGTGCTGCCCACATATTTCCCAAACAGATTTTGCACAGCTAGAAGTTTGTTTGTTTATTTAAATAGAAGTTAAGATCCTTAGGTAGACAGATTCCAGTGCCAACATCACCCTTGCCTGTTTTTCTGAACTCTGCCAAAACTGCAGCAGAGACACAACTCTGTCCCTTTGATTTGTTAAATTCACACCCCAGCTGGCAATTAGATTGCCTTGTTGTGAGGCTGTGCTTTACTTACGCAACAAGGCTTGGCTGTTCAGAAGAAGTGAGGATTTAAATTCTACTTACGCCTGAGTTTGCATTTGGCCCTCTGATGGTTACGCAGGAGGAGGAAATGAGGTGGCGAGCATCCTGTTTGTTCTCTAGACGGCATCCATTTTTCACTCATTGTTCGTGGCACTCTTCATTGTAGTGGGCGGTTGCCAAACTTTAGGAAACACATCCAGGCTTCAGAGTCTTGCTTCTAAAAGAAGATCTATTTACTTCTTACAAGGCATACATCTCTCAGCCATTGAATTCTGCTGTGGCTCTCCAGTGGCCTCAGTCAATTACTCTCAACATTCCACAATTAAGAAGGGTACATTTGCACATCAATCTCCAATTTTGATATATTTATTTCCTTCACTGTTTCTCCCCTGGAATTAAACCCAAAGAAATGGTGATGTAAACCAAGCTTGTTATTCCAGTTTGGTCCTTGCATCTCTTAAACACTGTTTATTATGCTGTATGCTAATTTGCTGCTCACCTATATGTATAGACTGGTAACTTCCATTTCAATGTATCTGAAGAAGTGTGCATGCACAGGAAAGCTTATACCTTGAATCAAACTTTGTTGGTCTTAAAGTTGCCACCGGACTTGAACTTTGTTCCGCTGCTTCAGACCAACACGGCTACCCACCTAAATCTGTCTTCTAGACAGGAGTGTTATTGTTCATTTGACAATTTTGCCTTCAAAGACACCACTGTCCAAAACTGTTGCAATTGGCTAATACCTACTTTTTCATAAATCACAATCAATGTGTCAATAACAGTACACATAAGAAGCACTTTACTATACTACCACATAAGAATCACATTACTAATAAGGACCAAACTACAAATTAAATAGGAGATTTGTACACACTTAACATAGGAGTCACCCTCATCAAGCTGAAAGGAAATGGCTTCCCAATTTTTGCTTCAAATTTCCATTTTATGTAAAAGGGGTTTTTTTGTGGGGGGTAACTTAAAACAAGGCTGCCAACAGGCCTGGAGGAAAATGTTTTGTCTCTTAAACAGAGATTTAATGTGTAGGGACGGGCAGTTGAAGCTTTTGGGGGGCATCTTCCTCCTCTTGGCAGAAAAATATACAGAGATAAACCAATGATCAAGAATTTCACAATATGACCCTCTCTTTATCGTCTTCCAGAAGGCAGTTCAAAACTTTGGCCTATTATGCATGGGTGTTTTCCCTCTTTTGGTCTGACTTCAGTTGCTGAATTGTTAAGATTCTGTAGGACGGTTTCTTCCACTGATTGTGTTTGACTGTGCTATCATTTGGTTGTTTCGATTGTTTTCAACTGCAGATTGCTATGTGAATTTTAATTAAAAAGCAGAACTGAAATGTTTTAGAGAGGTAAAATAAGCATGCCCCAACAGCGATTCAAAGCACCATGTCCCATACCACCACATCTGTCTTGCTATCTGCTGCCCTCCCTGCACAAACAAAATGAAAACAAACAACCCCCACCCCCACCCCGCAAATTCAAACAGCCCAGAGCATCACCTGCTGCCTACGGGGGACACATCAAGTTGCTTTTGAAGAAATGTTTGTCAGATTTTCACAAGGCACAGATTTTTCCATGGATTTCCCTTCCCTTTCTTCCTGTCATCCCCAGTTTCAAAAGACTGAAACATAAATTGTTGTTTTCCCCCCAGTGCTTCCCAAAGCAGGCCTTTGGTGGGGCCTTCCTTCAGGAACTTTCAACAGTTGCTGTGAGAGAGAGACTCTGAAGCATCCCCGACACCCTCCCTGGTACATTCATTGTTATGCTTCCAAATGCAAAGAGGCAAAAGTACATCCTCAGAGGTTTTGTGTGAGTCATCATTCTGGGCATCTCTCCTGGCTGGAATGAGGCATGCCCATTGCAGACTCATACAGAGACTCAGTAGGCATCCCCCTCCACAAATGGGTGTTTTGGGCTCATGGGAGCCTTTAGCTAATTTACTTCTCCAGGCATAGTATCTGGAAACCACTGCCCTGACTGTCTGCTTGCTCGCCCTTTCTCCCCTATCTAGCAAGAATGAGTGAGGGTAATAGACCTAGCAAACACCATTTGCCTTGATCACTGAATGGATCCTCCATGCTTAGAGGCAGTGAAGAAGAAGAAGAGATTGGATTTATACCCCGCCCTTCACTCGGAGTCTCAGAGTGGCTTACAAACTCCTTTCCCTTCCCCTCCCCACAACAGACACCCTGTGAGGTGGGTGGGGCTGAGAGAACTCTGACACAAACTGCTCTTTTTCAAGGACAGCTGTGCCAGAGCTTGTGACTGACCCAAAGTCACATCAGCAGGTGCAAGTGGAGGAGTGGGGAATCAAACCCGGTTCTCCCAGATTAGAGTCCGCACACTTAACCTGCATTACCTGCAATATCTCCATTATTTAGTGTGCAAACAAAACAAGGCCCCAGAGATCTATTGCTGGATCTTCCGTCTTTCTAAGCTTCTTTCGCAGGGTGGGGAGCACCAAAATCAGGTCTTGATGCTGGAGAAAAGGGACTAAGCTACACATGCTCCATTGCCAAGAACTGGCTAATGCCGCCAGTCACACACACACACACACACTGGCTTTAGGGCTAGCAGCTGAGATTGGCTCAGCATCAGCCCCGTCCAGCAGAACAAGCCCACACAACAACAGTTCTGCCCAGGCTAACATATCAGCTCTTTTATGCACTGCTGAACCAGTCAAGATAAGATGGTAACAAGAGTTTTCCTGTTTACTTCAGCTGGAGCCCTGATCCTGCCAGGCTCAGACGTTAGCCAGCTAGCACCCCTCCTCAGCGGCACAACGTTTGCTCTGCATGCAAAAGGTCCCCGGTTCAATCTCCAGTTAAAAGGAACAGGAAGTGGATGACGTCAAAGACCTTGACCAGAGGACCTGAGCAGCCAGCGCCAGTCAGGATAGACGAGACTGACACTGATAGGCCAGGCAACTTCATGTTCAATGGAGCCAGTGTAGTGTAGTTAGACTTGGCAACTCCTGGTTGGGAAATTCCAGGAGATTTGGCAGTGAAGCCTGGAGACAACGGGGTTGGGGGAGGCGAGGAACCTCAGTGGGGTATAATGCCATAAAGCCCAGTCTTGGCAGCAACCATTATCTCCCAGGAACTGATCTGTGTAGTCTGGAGACCAATAGTAATTCTGGGCTATCTCCAGCCCCCTCCTGGAGGTTGGCAATCGTAAGTGTAGTGTCTAGAGTGCAGGGCTGGGATCTGGAAAACCCAAGTTCAACTTCCCACTCTGTCAGAGAAGCTCACTGGGTGACCTTTGGCTGTCACCAATGTTCCCTCTAAACTGTGGAGTCTTGTGAGCAAAAATTCTCCTTTGTGAGCTGCTGGCATGAAAGTTGTGAGCGAGCGATTTGGCTGCTGCATAAGTTAGTTTGCTCTCCAGCCCTCCTTCCTGAGCGAAGACAAAAATGTGTGAGCCAGAGGCTAAAAAACTGTGAGCCAGCTCACACTAACTCAGCTTAGAGGGAACACTGGCTGTCACTCCCTCTCACCTGAGCCTACCTCACAGGGCTGCTGAGAGGATAAAAACGGAGTAAGAAAAAAAAAGATGGTTCAAGCTAATTTGGACCTTCACCCAGGAGAAAAGCGAGTACAAAGAAATGAATAAATAACGTGCAGGTGTCTTACTTGGCCTTTTGCAACCACCGTTTTAAAAGCAGATCACAGTGACGGGACATTCATTCCCTTCCAATGTAACCGTCACGGTCTCCTCCCCCCACAAAGTATCCTGGAAACTTCAGGTCGCCGGGGAGGGACCCGAAACCTCCTATTCGAGGAGCCCGCCTCGTTGACGGACAGGTGTCGCTGGAGAACGACAAGCCCCTCAAGAAGCGTGGCCGGAGCCAGGCAGGGTCCCCTCGCGGCCGCTAGGAGGCGCCCGATTCCATTCGTCCGCCCGGGCAACCTATAGCCGCCTCGGACGCCGGAGACCGCCCGGCACGCGGCGAGCAGAGCGAAGCGAGGCGGGCTGGTTGATTCGGTGAGGATCGCCGCCACCCGGGCGGACCGGTTCGCCTGCGTGCCTGCCTGGCTGGAGACTTTCCCGGCGTGCGCTGTTCGGGTCCTGCAGAAGGCGCCGGAGCCGCGGCTGCAAAGGTGGTGTCTCCCGCCCCTGGAGTGCCTCGCCGTCGGGGCTCCCGCTCTCATGACTCCCGCGGACCGCCAGTGAGCGGAGCCAGCTGGACGCCCTCGCTCTTCTCCAGCCCGTCGGCAGCATGGCCAGGAACACCTCGCTGCACTTCCGCGTGGTGGAGGCGAAAGACCTGCCGGCCAAGGACGTGTGAGTGGCCGGGGCGGGGCGGGGGCTTGCCCCTCGCGGGGGTGCTGGCCAGGCTCCCTCCCTGCTCAGAAGCCGGCGCGTTCCCCGGACCCGACGGGCCGTGCCTCTTTTCCTCGAGGACTCCCTCGACCGCATCCGATTTCCACTGAGCATGGGGCGGGAGGAGGAGGCTTCAGTGGGTCCATTCTCCTTAGGGATGGCACGGTTAGAGAAGGGGCGAGCCAGAGCTCCGTTAGGGGAGTCAGTCACCTCTTCCCTATTACCCCTTCCCCCCAAAACAGTCCCGCTGTTCTGCTACTGGCCTGCCTTGTGGTAAGGACTCTGTGAGTGTCCTGGAAGAGTTTTAGGAGCCCCCTCCCTCCCTCCCCGCTACCCTCAGGAACCCGCCCCCCCCAGCGAACCTAGAATTATGAAGGCCCTGGAGTACCTTCGCTGTAAGAGAACTTGAAGGCTTGGCCTGTGGGATGGATAGGGCTGTGGCTCAGTGGTAGAGTATCTGCTTGGTATGCAGGAGGTCTCAGGTTTGATCCCCAGCGGCAGGGTCAGTTAAAGGGATCAGGCAGGAGGTGAAGATGAAAGACCTCCGGTGGAGAGCTGCTGCCAGTCTGAGTGGACAATACTGACCTTGACAGGCCAAGAGTCTGACTCAGTATAAGGCAGCTTCATGTGTTTTTTGGGGGGGCTTTTTAGTTTGGGGGGAAAGGGGAATGCTATATAGATTTTCTAAAATGATGCAAGGGGATGGAGAAACCGGAGAGCGAACTTTTTTCCTTCCTCTCCTGTAATAACGAGAATTCAGGAGCTCCTGATGGAGCTGATGGGGGTAAATTCAGGAAGTGCTTTTAGGGCTGGTAACTCTGGGTTGGGAAATAAACACCTGGAGGGGTTTTTTTGAGGGGGGGGGAGGCTGGGGTTTGGGGAAGGACTTTAGCAGGGTATAATGCCATGGAATCCACCCTCCAGAGCAGCCGTTTACTTCAGGGGAACTGGTCTCCACTGGAGATCAATTGTTATGGCTAGAGATCTCCAGGTGTTACCTGGAGGGTGGCAATGCTAGTTTTTCTCCACACAGCAAGTATCTTAACAGGTTTAAACTCACTGACTCTTCTGCTGCCAGGGGGAAGCCGTGGCCACCGCCTTGGATGGCTTGAAAAACAAGAAAGTTCATGGAGGTGGAATTGATCAACTACTATTAGCTGTGGTTAGCTAAGTCAGTGGAACCTCCATGTGCAGAAGCAGTATATTTCTAAATACCAGACACCAAGGGCAAAAATAAAAATGGAGAAAGGTCTTAACTTCATGCCCTGTTTCCCAGAAGTCCTTTCCAAAAGAGCGCCAACAAGGCAAACGTGGTTCATTCTTTCTTTATTATATTTCTTTTTGCCCGGCAAAACTCAAAGCAACAGATATATGTGTCTTCCACCAAAGCCCTGACACACTTAGGTTCAGCGAGGCGGTTGTATTGTTTGCACTCGAAGTCAGGGTGTCCAGCTAGAAATGGGGAGGCCTGGGTTCTACTCTCTGAGTGTCTTTGGGCCAATCACCATTTCTCAGCCTAAACCTTCTTTCAGGGTTGTTGTGAACCTGAAATAGAGGAGAGGAAAACCAGGTATGCTGTCTTGGGTGGCTTGGATAAAGCATGTGGTTAAAATGCAGTGGATAGAATTTGGCTGGAGATGGTAGGAAACAGGATGCTGGTCTAGAAGGTCCTTTGGTCTGATCCTGCTGGGCTTTTATATTAATTGTTGAAAAGGTACAGAAAGACTGTTATGCTCTGGGCTGGGAAAACCTGGAATCATGGCTCTTGGCTGTGATGCCTCACCAGTCACCAGGTGACCTTTAGTGCCTCTTTCTCAGTCTAGCCTGCTTCACAGGACTGTTGTGAGGATCAGAATGGCACAAACAAAGTTTAAGCCCCCCTGTGTTCCTTTGAGGAAGGACAGGATACGAATATGATGAGTGTATAAAAACTGGAGCATTGCAGCCTAATCCCAGAGAGTTTTATGGCTTTCCAGGGACCATTGTTGCTATTAATAAAATTTACAGCAGTTAAATTAAATTAAATTACATACTTCAGGCTGGTCAGATCTCAGAGGCTAAGCAGGGTCAGCCCTGATTAGTATATGGGTGGGAAACTACCAAGAAATTCCAGGGTCGCTATGCAGAAGAAAGCAATAGCAAACCACCTCTGAATATCTCTTGCCATGAAAACCCTACGGGGTCACCATAATTTGGCTGCAGCTTGATGGCACTTTACACACACACACTGCACACAAAATTGAAAGATGAGTCCCTGCCACAATTGCCACTTAGGGCCAAATGGCACGTGATGTTGGGGGAGGAGTCCAGCTTTGGATCCCCAGATGAGATATTCAGCTGCAAGAAACAGCTGGGGCAGACCCAAATGTGGATCAGGGCTGTGGCTCTAGGGAAGGGGATGTTTATCTCTTTCCTCCCCCAAATGTCATTTCCCATATCTGAAATGCACTCTTCCACCATCCGCCTACACACCTGGAGCAAGGGATGTGTGGGTATCTGCCATTCCTCTCCCCCCCCCCCCCGTAGCTGCTTAAGCCAGGGATGGGGGAGGGATTTCCAGAATGGATGGAAACATAAGAGTTTGTCCACCTAGTCCGGCATCCAGAATCACACAGTGGCCAACCAGCCAGCGACGTACAGGGCATGAAGGCCTTCCTCTGATATTGCCTTCTTTCACTGGTATTTAGAGGTTGACTACCTCTTCATATGTAGGTTCCCTTTGGTCACCATAGCTACTAGTAGTAGCCATTGATGGTCCTGTCCTCCATGAATCTGTCTAATCTTCATATCGCCCTGTACTTTTTGCAGCTGCTTTTAATTACGCATCTGTAATTACAGAACCACTAAGATTGCAGCCCTGCGGACACTTCCTTGGGAGTCAGCCCCACAGAACTTAGTGGACCTGACTCAGAGATAGATATGCACAGGATTGAACTTGCATATATTGGTACAAGTAGAAAGGAAAGATGGGGTGGGGAAACAAAAGAAAATTTGAATGTATCCCCAATAATACCAGGAGTGAGCTCCCGTCTCTGGCCCCAGCTCCTGCCAACCTAGCAGTTAAAAAGCAAGAAATTGCAAGTAGATAAATACGTATTGCTTCAGTGGAAAGGTAACAGCATTCTGTGCACCTCGGCATTTAGTCATGCGGGCCACAAGACCACGGAAACATCTTCGGACAGTGCTGGCTTTTGGCTTGGAAACGGAGATGAGCACCGCCCCTTAGAGTCAGATTTGACTGGCTTTCGAGCAGTCTTTACCTTTATAATGCCAGATAGGGTAGCCGTGTTAGTGTTACCAAGTCCAGTGGCACCTCAAGGACAGAACAAATTTTATTCCAGCAGAATTGTTCATGAGTCAGAGCTGGCTTCACTGGATGCATGGGAGAGTCCCTTAAGGCTGGCTTTAAGTCTTTGAAGTGCCTCTGGGCTCCTGTTTCATACATAATTGTGACCAATGAACTGTGAAGCTGAGCTGTGAGCCTGAGTTTTTGCAACAATTTTTTCCCCAACAGCAGCTCCCCCACATCACATGGCAAGCTGTTTTGGAAAGCGCAGCCACAAAACTACTTTGTAATATGGCAGGGACGTAAGTGTATGTTTGTCTGCAGTTCAAAGACAAGAATTTTTTCAACTCTACTAGGCGAACTCTGTGAGCCTCACGTGAGCCTAAAATGTTCTTCGGAGCAGAGCTTAATATAATAATACTGTATATGCAAATAATATGTATTCTATGGGCTTTTTAATGGGCTCTCAGAGCATTTCAGATGTAGTATATTTGGGATGGAGTGAGATTTCCTAGAATTTGGTTCAACAGTCTTTACCTGTCAGCTGAGATAGTTCACACAGTAATTAAATAAAGTAAACCAACAGTTCTTACAATAACCCTGTAATGTACCCCGCCCTTTACTACCCAAAGGAGTCTCAGAGCGGCTTACAAACTCCTTTCCCTTCCCCTCCCCACAACAGACACCCTGTGAGGAAGGTGGGGCTGAGAGAACTCTGACAGAAACTGCTCTTTTTCAAGAACAGCTGTGCCAGAATTAAAACTTGCCCAAAGTCATCCAGCCAGGAACAAGTGGAGGAGTGGGGAATCAAACCCGGTTCTCCCAGATTAGAGTCTGCACTCTTAACCACTACACCAAAGATGTCTGGCTGTCCTCACCTGTCCCTGGCCTGGTGGAACTCTCTACCTTAGTAACATCCGCGCCCTGCGGGACCTTGCTGAGTTCTTCAGGGCGTGCAAAATGGAGATGTTCCACCAAGCCTACAGTTGAGGACAGCAACAGTTCCTTACCATGGCTTCCACCCGAAAACCAGGTGAAAACCAGGGAGGATTGTGAGGCACTCCAAAGAGATCTGTCAAGGATGGGCGAGTGGGCATCAATGTGGCCAAGTGCAAGGTGATGCACATTGGAGCCAAAAATCCTAACTAAAAATACATGTCTGAACTGGCAGAGACTGACCAAGAGAGAGATCTTGGAGTCGTAGTAGATAACTCACTGAAAATGTCGAGACAGTGTGCAACTGCAGTAAAAAAGGCCAATGCTATGCTGGGGATTATTAGGAAGGGTATTGAAAACAGATCAGCCAATATCATAATGCCCCTATATAAATCAATGGTGCTGTCTCGTTTGGAATACTGTGTACAATTCTGGTCACCACACCTCAAAAAGGATATTATAACTTTGGAAAAAGTACAGAAAAGGGAAACTAGAATGATAAAAGGGTTGGAATAATTTCCCTATGAAGGAAGGTTAAAGCGCTTGGGGCTCTTTAGCTTGGAGAAATGATGGCTGAGGGGTAACATGATTGAGGTTTATAAGATTATGCATGGGATAGAGCAGGTAGAGAAAGAGGTACTTTTCTCCCTTTCTCACAATACAAGAACTCATGGGCACTCCATGAAATTGCTGAGCGGTCGGGTTAGAACGGATAAAAGGAAGTACTTCTTCACCCAAA